TCAAGTCTATTCCTCAGTATCAAAATCAAGTCAATTTTTACAATTTCAGATTATGATATTATGCATTTTAAACCCCAGTTATAATCAGATTAGATCAATAGTTTAAACACCTGCAAGTAGAATGTAGTTATATAAGCACATGGCCTTTGGGAATGGGCAGGTTCCTCAATGCGCAGCTAATTAGAAAATAAACCGTTGCGGAGTTGGTGTTATATAAAGCATGTTTTTCTGATTACTGGAGAGGGATAATCCGGTGAGTAATGCATCACCTGACGGACTGGACACAGGTGCAAAGCTCATTTATGCTGTAATCTAAAGCCGGTAAACAATGTGTACATACAAAAAGATTAAACAGTTTTTCCTGTATGAGATATCCGCATTAAAGCAGGAATGTGGACGCAATAATGTTTATGGTGATACAGTTCAAAGTACGAGGGGAATGAAAGGTGTATTAAGTCATTTAACATTTTGTACAAAAATAATCTCCAACTACAGTTTGTTTTGGTATGAATACAATTAAATGAGTGGTTTGAGAGTTATGAGTGGAACAGACAAACCAACAGGAGGAGACACAGACAGACGTTCCTCGCATTAATAGACAGATGTTAAAACTGTACCAGGCATCACAAGTTTCTATAAAAATAAAATGATGACTGATTATGTTGTGTAGGATTGTCAGAATAGGTGACTTTTAAGTGTTGATTTGAGTGGAAGGGAGTCTGTGGTCTTGACTAAGAGGGAGAGCGGGAAAAAAAAAAGAAAAAGGATCAGTTGTACTTTCACACTTGTTTTTGGACACTGTAGGCTGACCTGAGCAGAATTGTGGCATCCTTATATCTTGCGCCATCATAAAATTGGCATATTTACTACAGGCATAAAATAATGAGTCATAAATAAAGCAACAGCAGCCGTGGATCGTGGGAGCGTCTACAAACAACACAGTCACAAGAGAGCATTACGCGCAACGAAAACAACGCCTCACTATTTCTGTAGACCTGGATGTATCAAGCTTTATTTGTGATTACAACAACTGTTTGCCTTTGAAAACTTGTATTATGTCTGTGAAATCCGTCTGAGGGGCTAGTAATAAATAAACCTTCTGACGTTCCCCAGGCCTGATCTCTTTTAGTCCACATATATTGAACTATTATTTGCTTAATGCTTGATAATTAGATGGAAAACTATTACTTCAAGCTCTTACATTACACAAAACTGAGTGTTGTGAGCTTTAAGCCATGTTATAATGTTGTTTCCTCATCAAAAACAGCCCTGTACCGGAGTAGTGCTTTGTTTCATCCCTACATGTTTGAGTAACCCTTTATTATTAGTCTGTCTGCATCCCCAAAGATCAAAATGCTCTGTTCCACCTTGTGATGCCAAGAAGCAGTAGTTTTCAAGTTAACAGGTACCTTTTACTGTTTGTTTAGTAGAGGTTGGCAATTCCAGTGCAGGAAATGTGGTGGTGGTGTATGGAGATTAAAAACACAGTGGAGCACTTCCTGTGTTACCACATGACATTGCGAGGTGGAATCACAAGGCCTGAGAGGAGAACTCTGCCTGAATATGCAAGGCTTGTGTGTTAAACATATTTGAATGAAACAAAACACAACTCCAGGTATGTTTGTGATGAGGAACCCCTACAATATAACATCAGTGAATAACATAATATGGGTCCATTAAAAGATCTGTGCAAAAAAATAATATTTCTGCTATTGCTTCTGCTAATCCATCTGGTCTTGAACATCAGTCCTTCTCTAGCCTCCAGCTACTCCATTTTTCCTTAAAACAAGACACGGAATCTGCAGATAATCAAATATGTATGGTTATTTTTATGCTACTGTTCATAATCTTCGTCCCATATGCTCCTCACATCAGATACACGAGAGCGTGGGCTTTCAGGGTGAGTGAACAGTGCGGTGCTCAGTGTTCATTGAATGTGACTGTGTTCTACATGGGCACTGGGGCTGGAGAGGAGAGATGAGAGAACTATACAGGAGAGAGGTGCCATGTTGGCAGTATGTAGATTAACAGGATGCAGATCAATACTCACTCGGGGTAACATTAATGTCATGAACAAGACGCAATTGTAAGACATAAATTGATTCACACAGATATATGTGGTGTGTAATGCTGTTGCGCGTCAGCAGAGGAAATGCATTAAGACTTGCATGTATTTTGAAACTGTGGATATGTATACTGTACTTGAGATACCTAGGCTTCCCTCTCCCCAGACACTTTTACAGCTTTAGAAACTGCACAGCTTCCCTGGCAAGAAGAGAATCGTCCCCTCAGCAGATTGAAAGCTGCAAATCAGATACATTTGCTATTGATGCAATCCCTCATTTGTCCAAGAACACCTACTTCATACAAATGCATTATATGATTCAGCCCAAGTAGGAGGCCAATATTACATTTGCTCATAAGGTGATTCCCACTCTCGTTGTGGAGTTTGGGCAACCTGTCAAGGGCTATACATCTAGGTCTGTCATGATAACAAAGATTTAAACCTGATATACTGTGATAAATGATAATATTGAAACTACTTTATGCCACTGACACAAAGCAAGATAACCTCAGTAAACCTATTTTTAAAGACACATCATATCATATCATTAAAAAGCCTGAGCTGCCACAAATAAAAGGCCGAATTAACCAGTAGTTAGTCATACAAGTTATTTATCCAACCTTCTACAGCTCAGATCTTATCACTTTGCATAAAAATGTCTAAAATCTTCCCACTACTGCAATAAAAAAAAAAAAAAAAAAAAAAAAAAAAAAAAGGTAATTATGATAAATATTGGGCCACAAAATATATTGTTCCAGCTTTTCAATTATCGTGACAGGCCTATATGCATCACCCAGACACAAGGTTCAGAGTCATTGAAGGATGGGTCAGATGCAAAGGATACGTTCTCAATGGTGATAATACAGTCTTATACATCCTGCACCCTTTAATATAGACCTCTTTAATATAGACCTCTCAGCAGCCATATGGTAGCTTGGCGCTGGGACTGTTATTCATTCCTACATTGTTGTATTACACTAAAACATTTCTTTGGGAGTGGCGTTGGTGTAATCCCCTCCACACTGAACGCTCTACTTAACGCCACAGTCTCCAAACAGGTTCTTGTGGTCCACATCCTGACCACAACTCAACAACAACTGCAGTGTCTCCGGGACTTCCTTTCAACACGTGGGTTTTTAGAGAGCCCTGTTCCCACTTGTTCAACACAGAGCGCATATTTCACATTTCCATGCTGCAGCAAGTGGCTTCCCAAATCAGACAGAAAAGCCCCCTCCCACTCCAGTCGGTTTTGTAATACCCAGAGGTGCAAAGTGAAGAAGAGGCAGCCATCCATATAAAAAGCCAATAAAAACACATGGGAACTCGCATGCAACTTATAAGTTATTTGAGGTGGCTAGATGTGTGAAATTACTGGTACAATAGTAAGATGTAAAAAATCCAAATATGTATTTAATTATCAAATGAAAATGATAAAACTAAGTGCTAAGTGAGTAACAGTTTTAACACAAGATTTTTTCTTTGGTTGATATAAAATACAATATATTACATTAGGACATTAAAAAGACGAGCTGCAATTTGAGTTTCCACTACCTTATTCTGGGGTAATTTTCACAAAATATTGTTCTAACAAAATGAATTTCAATCTAAAATTCTAAATAGGCTACATAATGTGAAGACTGAATGGTCACTAGTCAGAAGTTTAAAAATGTATTCATGTGTTGTTATATCAAAATAAAATGACTCAAAGACATAACAATATGTCACTAGAAAAACAAAAGTGCAAATTACCCTAATCATGGACAAAGTGTACTTTTTTGCTTGCCAGCTTTGGTAACATGAAACTTCTGTTGTTTGAGGGACTCTGGATGATGTTGCTGGGAGGGGCTTCTCTGGAAAATATTGCACATTCTTCTTCTCTCCAAAAAAGTGCAGAGAAAGTCCTGAGGGTCCGACCGGAGGAACGTCAGACACGCTAAACTACAACACGACACAGGTGGAGAAATGCAGTTGTTCCGTACCATGCATACTTATGTCTACAGCTTTATAAATATATGAATATAATATGATCACTATGGCATCCACTGACAAGGCCAAGACAGTGAGCCAACAAGAGGTCCATCGCTATATAACAGGACCACTCCCACATCTCTGTAATGCATAGTGACCAAATGTTAAGCGGGCCTAAATACTCATTTGAAATCCAAACTGGAGTGAGCAGTGTTAGAATAAACCTTAATTTAATCCAAAACATGAGACACAGAGGGTGTGGAGACTAGATTGGGAACAGGCATCTTCCATAAATTGGCCAGTAGTGATGAGTCAAGTGGCCATCTTGAAAGAATGGTAGAACTCAATGGACTCAATAATGTATTTGTAAGCATTGAGCAAGTGGTATGTTGAAAGGTGACAACAAAACAAGCCAAAATTACCTCATATTACTTGCTTGTTTAGAGCTATTTTAGTGATCATAACATTATGATCAAATCAATAGAGCAGCCCTCTGTTGATACTGGTCAAATTAAATTATAAGTTCTGTCCAATACAGGAGGCACAAAACAGGAAATTATCCTCCTCAACAGAAAATACCTTCCATGTTTTCATCAAAGCTGCACTACATACAACTTAACTACTGGAGGTGCTCGCCTCTCCAAACCAAGACTTTTAACTTGGCCCAGTGGCATCCCCTGCTTGTCTCCCCAGAGACAGATAAGCTTAATGCCATACTGTGAAACATTCCAGTCATAACATCTCCGTGGATACGAGTGAATGGCGTACCCTCCAAAAGTTGCACGGTGCCTTTTTGAGTTGAGAGCAAGATACCTGTAACAGTTACAATACCAAAGCCTATTTTACATTTTGGCCCTATTGTGGAATAGTAGTGAAGTTCACTTCTAAAACCAGTTTACTATTTTCAGGTCATTAACACAGAATGTGAAAAAAGGTTAACAATTGTTTTATTATGGGGAAGTCTTACCTGGATGCCAGCCTGGACGGCCATCACTGCAGTCTCTGGAGCCTCACTTCTTCATTCTGAAACAACAAAATAAAAGGAGAAATTCAGTGACCAATTTTATTTTTTAAGAAGCTTACTCCAGTCTGGTCCTGTTTGATAATTTTAGACCACTATGTAAAGTCTGTTAAACAATTAGGATTATTACACCTGATCTTCTAGAAATAGAAGGACAATTGGGTAATGCAGTTGGGCACATCACGGAAAATTGAAGTTAAGTCCTATTATTCAAAATGCCTTCATGAAGTACAGAGAAGATTTTACACCAGACCCCATACCTGGAACAATACACTATATTCCTTATCCAAGCTCGGAAAATTAAGAGGTACTCTCTTGGCCAAGCAAATAAAGTATAATGATGAGGGTTATTATGTTTACAGATAAATCATGTAACACATCAAATGAAAAGCTCAAACCTAATAAACTAAACTAATTTCCTAATCTTATTCTGACCTGTCCGACCCACCCCCCTCTCCATCCTGTCTCAGAGCTGGTGCGTTCACACATTAGTATAATTGGCTGCTGCGTTATTGTGTGAACAGGACTCCATAAATCACTGCTCCTCACACACCCGACAGAGGCTTTTTTAACCCTGAAAACAGCCTGAAACGACCTGGGTCTAACTAGGTCCACGCGGTTTCCATTCACTTCCATTCAGGCCTTTAAACTAATGCCAAATGTGTGCAGCTCACAAAAGCAATTAGCTTGCCTAAAAAAGTCTGCATCTTTAGAGAGACTTTCTTGTCCCTATCAAGTGCAGTAACCTCATGAGATAAAATGTTTGAATTAAGTACATAAGTTGCATACTCTCTCAGGGAAAGAGACACAAATTGTCTCAGTTCTAAAAGACCCATCCAATAGTTATATCAGCTTTGACTCAGGAGGAACAAATGTGACTATATTTTTGTGTTAAATATTACTGATTAAAATTCTGTCTTGTCATGTGCATGAAATTAATACTGGAAGCCATGTTTTACAAGATTTTCAGCAGATGTTTTACACAAGGAAAACAAAAAGTCCAAAATTGTGATGAATCATAGGGCAAATAATAAAAATGTGTGTTTGGTGCTAGGGCTTGGCAAAAAAAAAACAAAAAAAAAAAAAAACACACAGTCCATAGGCCACCGAATACAGTATGATTTACACACTTAAAGCTTGCCCTGGTTAAGATACAGTATGAGAATGGATTACTCTGTCGGATTAACAAATCTCAGTGCATCTTTACTACAACAATATCCTGTTACAGAGAGGCTACATTGGACACTATGGAAGTGCAAAGGGGCCCAGGGGCCAGAGCTGCTGGATGTTTGTGTGATGTGTGGATGGGACCCTCAGAGGAGGAAGTGAGGGCCAACACTGTGGCCTTTCCCATGCAGGATGTGGAGGATTACTGTCCCAAATGGAAGGAGTATTTGACAGAGCCCAGTCAACGTGGGGGGAGATCCCAATAACGGAGATGATAATTTACCAAACACAGCTGAGGCAATAGTCCCTCCCTGCTGCCACCGGCTCCTGCCCCCTCACTCACAACAGGGAGACAATCACCTCTGTGCACCTGATGTCCTGGGACAGCAAGAACAAAAACCAATACATCTTAATCCAAAAGGCTCATTACAGATGCAGGCTGTAACGAACCTTTTGTTTTCATGTCCTGCACATTTTCACATTATATTACACAAAATGGATTCTTGTGAGCTTTACATGGAGGTGAGCTTTGTTTCTCCAGATGCTCTGTTCCACCTTGTGATGTCATGAAGCAGCAGAGGTTAACGGCTACATTTTACCTTTTTTATTTGCAGTAAATACTATTATTGTACTGTACAGTAACAGCCAAAGCTGAAGTAAAATTGATAATGTAACAATGTGAGATTCATATTCAACAGCCAGCCAATTAATGTAATATGTGTTTGTTATGCTCCTTCAATTTCAATTTACATGTTTAACTGTTGTGAAGGTGGATGATGTAAAATTCTTATCTTGATGTGCAATTAAAATATGCAATCCCATAACAACTTGTACTAAGACATCACAGCTTCAACTTCACACAAAATTATCATCCTTCGTCAACCCATTAATGATTCTTAACTCTGAGATTTTCTGTAGAGAGTTTCCTCAAAATCCAACCGTCAGTTAACAGCCAAATATCTCGTAAGCAATAACTAAACAAAACTTCCCTGACAGAAGGACAGAATACATTTTACACTCGAGTTAGGAGCAGTTCACCAGTTTAAATACAGCATGTTCCCTTTGCTGGGTTCAGGACAGTGGAAACACCCTTATAGATTTTCAGTCTGTAACACTAGACTGATCACAATCAATATCTGTGGCTCTGATGTAAGAAACCGTGTCCTTGGACTGATTTGACTCACAAGATGTACAGTTTGGGTTTTTAAGCGCACAGTTTTTTGCCATCACAATAAGTGTTAGAGATACTTAATGTATAAAAAAAAAATCAGTTTACAAACAATATTTCAACATTTACAACTCACTTGCATCAGCAGCACCTGATATAGCTACAAAAGTAAGAATGGCATTTAAAACAGCTGACTTCTTCACAAGCATCTCTATACATTCACAATAACATGAAATTAAATGCAGGTTAAGTTCAAAATCATAATAAGATATGCCTTTTTTAGTGACCTATCCCCTGTTACCCCATGAGAGAAGATGCAAGTCAGCAGCAGGAAGGCTATACACTACAACCTTCTCAATCCACCAACACTTTTTAGATGACAACTCAATCTGCTTACCTAAAGTGTGAATCCAGTTGTATAGCTCCTTTTAGCTGCATCACACGACTATATTTGACCTCTGCTGACAAATCTCTCCAATTTTTCAAGTGTACTTTGGCGGGACAGTATAGCACGAGTGTGAACTGCCTGTGTGCGTCTCCACGAGTGAGCTGACAGGACCGATGGATGAGAGGGAGAGAGAGAGAGAGAGAGAAGGAGAGAGAGGGAGGAGGAGTTGGCTTGACTAATGAAGTGGCTACGCTTTGCTAAGCTCCTATCCGCTACACCAGCCCCCTCAGTACAATCCGATCGCGCTGTGGGACCCTCTCACAAAGCCCCTATTGTCTAAAGTGAACCACACACACACATTAGGGGTGTAAGCGGTGTGTGTCAGGTCGGAAGATAGAAAGAGGAACTCCCCAATCAGAGTGCAACGGCATGGAAGAGGGGACGGGAGAGTGGAGTAGGAGAGGGCTTCACCTGTGTAACATTTTATTACGATATATTTTCTGTAAACTCTTGAACCCATTGTGTTTTTATGGTAATGATGACCAGGTAAAGAGGTAGTTCAACAAGATAAAAAACAAATCTTTTAAACTAAAAGGTGTAGGGGTAGGTGATATTGACAAAACTGATATATCTACATATTGTGCCTTACCTCTATAACAATTTTCAGACATCGTTTTAAAAATGCATCAGGAATAAGTGTCTGTAACTGCCTTGGTTGTGGTTCAGTTATTGCACAAAGCATGAATGGACTATAAAATTTACAACAAAAGCGCAGAAATCAATTTATACCCTTGTTAGTGCGATTACACATATCCAAAACAACAACTGTGATCCATCAGTTCTCTGGCGCAATCATAAACTTAAAAAAATAACTGGCCAACTGAACGCTCTGCAAATAAAAAAGATAAAGAATTTGAGACATTTGGCGTGGGAAGAAAGGAGAGACAGGCGAGGAGACAGGAGGAGTCTTTGAGACAGTGGATCCTGGTCTGGTTTGACGGGCCGGAGCAGGTTCTCAGATGAAGCAGAGCTGACGAACTGAAACATGACGTAATGCTTTGGTCCCAGATGTTCGCCACCGACAGCTGTTACGGCCGTCTCCACTGTAATGATGAAAGATCTCCTGATTATCCATGTACTAATGAGGAAAAACTACAAATTAACTCTAAGCCAGACAAAAAAATTTAAAAGGTGTATTATCTGACTCAAATATCCACTTTGTTTACTTTACTCTGAATACTGTTATTTAATTTATAAGCAATGGCGTTTTGTGAGCGAACATAACAGTTGGTCTATCTAACAAATCATATTAAATGAGCAAGACAAGGATGACTTCTGGGAGTTTGTAAACCAATGCATTTGAGATAATCTATGAGGGAAATGATGCTTTACATAAAATAAATGAAGCTTGAGGTGATGATATGACAATATAATCTAAAACTGTGATCTGACTCTGTAATTATAAAATGACTGAATGCTTTTCAGTTCAGTGCAGCTCTATGCTAAATCACAGACAAGGGCCTCCCATCTATCTTTCTCCACACACTCCTCCTAATGGTTATGTTCTGAGTGGGTGACAGGTGGATTAACCCAATTACAGTGAAGTGAATTCTTGGATAAATAACAATATAATTCCATGTAAAAGCATCATAGAAAAAAAAAAGACCTATAGGCTTGAAAAAGGTTATTTTCTTCAAAAAACACCATTAGGGACATCTTTTTTAATGTGTTTAAAAGTACAAAGCTTGGTCTCACAGCATTTAGCTCAAACCTGACATTTTACCGAGCCTTCCTTTCTTCAACCCCACAGCTGCACAACTAAGAGAGGCACAAGGAGAGTCGACATTTGAGGGGCAGAAAAGAGCGGCTTCTTTTAAGTCTCTGGTGTGACGTTATGGGACAAAGGCCAGATCTTTAGCTGTGGACTCCAGTTGTGCTGCACAGAACAGCCCCCCCGAGGAGACCAAAGGCTCCCACACACATCCAAATGTCAAACAGAGAGGAGGCCCCATGCAACAGGACGGGACAGAGGCACACAACACAATGCACTTTCTATGGAGCAGCTGAACTTGGGACCAGCCATTCAAAGTTCAACTGCACCACGCACATTCCCATACGGTCAACGAGGGGAAAATGATTTGACAATGTGCACTTATTATTCACTGATAAAGTGCAAAATAATGATTAGTGAGATAATATTGTGAGATTAAGACTGAAATGGGAGCGGCAATATGGCACAATATGGCAGCTTAGAATAGCTATATACTGAAGTCCATGAACTCGATGTTTAAAAAAAATATATATATAGTTCTCAGTAGTTTTCAGACATCATATTTTTACTCCTACTTAAGTAGTATATGCTTAATTGAATAAGTGTTTTGAGTAATATAGACCCTTTCAGGAGTGTGTTTAGAATGGTTGCACACACAGCCTGGTACTGATATGAACATTTATCCCATTCATTTTAATAGGACAGGAAAATAAAAACTTTAATTTTGACATTTGTAGACAGCAGAGGCAAACAGTTCTTGTTTGTTACATTTGCCAAAGAATAATACTAGTCAATATCTAACTTCCTGCTCCAGGTTCTAAAGTTCACTAATGTATGCAGGATGTATGTATGTGGCTCTTGATTATTTAAAACTAATATTTTAACAACAGTTTTAACAAACTGTTGTGGCCCACTATATTTTTGGTACATTTTTGCACTCAGAGAAGAAATGTTTATTATGTGGTCATCAGCAATCCAATTTTGGAGCTAACAGTTGCAAAAAATTCATATAAGGCCAGGTTGCAGTCAGTGTACACAAGTGCTTCTGAGAATTCACAACACTGGGATTGTGTGTAAAATCCCTCAGTTGTCCAGGTAGAATCCATGGCAAAGGAAAAATTCAAATTAGTCAACTGGACAGAAGTTTATTTTGGTCAAATGTATTTCGCAGTTGATTCCAAGCTGCTTCTTCAGTTCAGAATGCTGGTGGATACTGCCGATATAGGCAGATATAAAGGTAGTGTCCACCAGCATTCTGACCAGAACTGAAGAAGCTGCTTGGATGAGCTGTGATTTTGTCCAGTTGACAAATTTGAATTTCTCCTTTGCCATCAACACTGAGATTGGTTAAATCCCCCTGTCACTCACTCAGAGCAAGATGGATGGAGAGTGGGTGGGGAAAAGTGGTTGTTTGAGCATATAGAGCTGCACTAACAATATTTGAATTTATTTGTTTGGAGGATAAGCCCCTTGAGATGTCTCGCCATCTCATTTTTGAGGGGGTCCAATTTAACAGAATATCACTGTAATGAAATATAAAACCTATATAAGTTTTAAAAACATCCAGATGTTTCTGTATAAGTGTGCTGTATTTATTTTGTTCAATGAGCGGTATGAATAATGCTCATATTACATGACAGTAATTTCACAATACATTTCTCAACCTTGTCATTATTCATTGTTTGACCGCGACATCCTCCAACCAGATTCTGCTTCCTGGATTTCCTTGGGCCAAACAGTGCAGCTGAGCCTCCTTTTGGATCGGCTTACACGCTCCCTTTGTCAGGCTCATAAATGCAGAGAAAAGGGCGCACCACATTTGAGAACAACGCTATTTTTAGAGATCCTCCCGTAAATCTTCATTCAAGCAGAAGTGTGGGAATCGACAGCTATAACTACAAAGTGCAAGTTTAAAATATTATCTCCCGTCCGTGACAAAAAAGCATATTCGACTGATGTGCTAATCCGCATAAAGACAGGATTATTGACACACAAAACCCTGGAAACCCTACACTGAGACAAACAGGAAGTCTGGTCTTTGATGTTTGGTTTATATGATTTATTACATTGCCTTTAAATTACCATGTTTAAAAATAAAGTCAAGACAGGAGGAACTGCATGACAACAAGTTATATCTGGTTAGCACATAGCCAGAAACTGTAAGGTTGCTGTGAAATTATTGACTACATATAGGCAACAGAAACATAACCTCTTCCAACATAATGATATATCTTAATGGATGTATGGTTTGTGGTTGTTGCGCTCATATCATCTCTTTTGTTTCTGAATGGAAATCAATAACATCCGGGCATCTAAAAGTCAACCCCCTGTTTGACTCAGAAAATGCTCTAGTCCCATTCTCTGTGTATGTAACAGACACGGGTCCAGTTTAGCCTGAAGTCTACAAGTCTAACATATGTGTTTTTGTGTGAAAGTCAATCATTTGTTTTGTTTTTTGTTTGTTTTCTTTTTGAGTAAATATGGGTCGTGTCTCATGTCACACTAAACCAGATTTCATCAGCAAACATTCAAATGAGTCTGTATGAAAATATGCATAAAAAATGACCAAGCTGTAGTTGATGTCAAACAAATAAAAAGTATTCTCTTCCAAAGCAATGGTCTAAATAATCAAAGTTAAGACTAAAAGAATTTAGTTTTTTATTCATTCTATCAGGACTGATGAATAAAGGATCATGGTCTTTAGTTGCTACTTTCTACTTTTGCTGCTTCAACAAATCCATAATTTTAGGTAAAAAAAAAAAACAAAAAAAAAAAACGCACAATTAAAATTAAATAAAAGTTCAATAAATTCACAATACTTTATACTTTTTTGTCAACATTTTAAAATCTATAATATGTGTTTTTCTTTGTGCTGTTGTGGGCGGAACCTCTGTGTACAGCGTATGACCTCTCTCGTAGCTCTCTGTTTCTGCTCTAATCATTTAAGAGGATCAGGTCTATTCCAGACAGCGGCCGGTGCACCTCCACGCCTTCGCCATCACAAACACTACGACAGCAGCACGTGGGGGTGGCGTGCACCCGTCTGCCGCGCTGCCCCGGGGCGGGACGGGAGGGCGCTCGTGCAGAAGGAGGGAGACATGGGACAGATATTATGTAATCAGAGTTAAAAGTAGAAATGGGATGACCTTTTTGAGTTTAATGTTTTGTGGAATGTATAAGAAGTAAACACGTGCATTTGTGAGTGGATTTGAGGACATCTGTTAGATATCGCCTGTTTCCTGTCAACCTCCAAGAATAAATCTTTCCCTTGGCTGTCCCTGCCATATCTGCCTGATTATGTGGAGTAAATTGCCCATTAAGCTTTATACACATGCCTGTCTGAAACATCTCCATTTATCAAGACAGTG